AACCACTGAGATGTAATATATGCAAGCAATAAAAAGCAACAAAAAAGCCCTAATAGTTAATATTATTAGGCAAATAAGAATTAATTTTATTAATTACCGCTATGCTTTTTTTATTAATAGTTTATTGTTTTTATTAATTTCGGTTTATTATATTCCCAACGCTTTAAGTAAACCGAAAAATATTAATCAGTTAGTATATTTAATAAGCATGCATATTAGCTATATAAGCTTTTTAGTTATGGCTTTTAGCATCGCATGCATGCCAATTTTAATGCTACCGCAAAAAATAATGCGCTTAGCCTTAACTCTGTTATTTTCTGCCGGCTTAGTTTTGTTTTTATTAGATACAATCTTATACGCCGACTTTAAACTCCATATAAATGCTATTTCCTTACCTATTTTAACCTTAAAAATTAGCACGGTGACGCATCAAGATAGCATTATAGCTCTTGCCTTGTTTATTTTAATATTATTCTTAGAATATAAATTTGTTTGTAATAAAAAACTAATTCCTAACATTAACGACAACAGCAAAAAGTATTATTTGTATTTTTTGTTTTGTAGTCTTTGTATGATTTCAGCCTATACAAGCTATAACTTAGCTAACGAAACTAACCAACAAAAATATACCCAACTAATTAGCTATTGTGCTTTGTTTAATCCAACTAAAGCATTAGAACCAATGCAAAAGCTGCATCTTGCTCAAGCTAAAATGCTCTCAAGTAAAAAATTATTTGCCCCACAACTAAGAAATTATAATTATATCAACAAGCCAATTTATTATGATGAGGTAGAACAACCAAAAAATATTTTATTAATTGTAATAGATGCATGGCGTAGCGATAAATTCAATGCCGACCAATGCCCAAATATGTGGCGTTATGCCAAGTTAGGCACTAGGTTTACTAATCATTATTCTTCAGGTAATTCTACTAAAAATGGTATTTTTGGTTTGTTCTATGGCGTGCCTGGCACCTATTGGGATTTATTTCGTAAAACCAAACAACAACCATTATTGCTAAATAGACTCCAACAATTAAATTATCAAATTGGTATTTTTACTTCAGCATCGTTAAAATCGCTTAAATTCGATAAAATAATTTTTCAACAAATTAATAATTTACGTAAGGGTTCAAACGGTAATACTCCAGCAATAAGAGATCAGCAAGCAACAGAAGATTGGCTTAACTGGTACGCTAATAAACCTCAAGATCAGCCAAGTTTTAGTTTTGTATTTTATGATGCAGTGTATGGTTATGATTTTACTGCCGAGTTTAATCAAGAATTTTCACCTACAGCAGGCAGAATAAAATATGCTAAAATGGCAGATGAATATGGCGCCGATATGGAAAAATTATATGATTCAAGCGTACAATATGTCGATAGCTTAGCTGGTAAAATTTTAGATAAACTCGAACAAAGTTCGCAACTAGAAAACACCATGGTTATAATAACTGGCGATCATGGCCATGAATTAAACGACAACGGGCAAGATTTTTGGGGGCATAATTCTAATTTAGCTAATAGCCAAATTAAAGTACCTTTTATTATTATAGATAAAAACTTTAACCAACAAAAACCAGAAAAAATCTGTCGCAACTTAACTAGCCATTACGATTTAGTACCAACAATAATGAAAAACCTTCTAGGAACAACTAATGGGGCTAGCGATTATAGTTGCGGAGTTGATTTATTTAGCGACTTTAGCTATAGAAAATGGGTTTTAAGTTCGGCGAAGAAAAAATACTTAGATTATTTTGGTGTTATTCAACAAGATTATACGATAAAACTATTGCCCTCGGGGTTTTATCAATTTTTAGATAACCGCAATAGCCCAATAGCAGAAACCGAAGAAATCAACTACGAACAAATCAACCAAGCCTTTGAAATGGTAGAAAAATTTACTCATTGAATTGATTTAAGTTTTAGCGCTAAAGCATCGCCTTTTATAGAGATGTGATTTCCTCCCCGATCTAAAGGGAAGGAAGTTACATGTTTTTTTGTGCGACTACAAGCATTTATTTGCAATATTGTTTTTTTAAGCTGAAGTTAGCTGCATTTAATAGATGCAACTAGTCGCTTCAGCTGTTGCGTTCACTTTTTCTAAAATTTAACCAAGGTATTAGCTAAAATAATTAATATAGGAGCAATATATAATTTAACAGCTGTTGCATCATTTTTTGCCTCTTGTATTTTAAAACAACGAGTTTTATTATTTTTTGAACAGCCCTCAGCTTCTGTTAGAGCAATGTCATACAAATTACAAGCATTAGGCTTGCAACATTTAATTGCACTTTCACTGCAATTACCATTATTACAAATAATATCTGATTTCTCAATACAATCAGTTGTATTAAAAAAATTATAATTGAAATTATACTTATTTAAGTTATTATTTTTGGTTATTAATAATCCACATAAAGTATTATTTAAACCACCGCTAGAGTTTGAATATCTAAAACTATCTGTATCAAAATGATATTTATCTATATCATATTTTAATTTATTTAAAGCTTTTTTGGCATCTAAGGTATCTAAAGAAAACTCATCGATATAACATGACAGTACTTGTATATTCGCTGGTGCTGGAATAGTTTTTGCATTCATTATTATTTTGTAATTAGTATTGGTATTAGTATTAATCGTCGGATAGTTTCTAAGACTCACAGAATTGGATAAATGAGATAGTAATGATAAAATAAGTACAAATTCAAATTTCATAGTTAAATCTTCTTATGTTAGGTTGATCTTGGTGAACCACCCCGCCTTAAAAGGGCGATGGTTTACGGTACGATTGCTAATAAATGTTGACTTTCTGTTATACACTTTTCTATTTTAATTTTTAATTGCTCTATTCAATATGTCGATAGCTTAGCTGGTAAAATTTTAGATAAACTTGAACAAAGTTCGCAACTAGAAAACACCATGGTTATAATAACTGGCGATCATGGGTATGAGCTAAACGACAACGGGCAAGATTTTTGGGGGCATAATTCTAATTTAGCTAATAGCCAAATTAAAGTACCTTTTATTATTATAGATAAAAACTTTAACCAACAAAAACCAGAAAAAATCTGTCGCACCTTAACTAGCCATTAGGATTTAGTAGCAACAATAATGAAAAACCTTCTAGGAACAACTAATGGGGCTAGCGATTATAGTTGCGGAGTTGATTTATTTAGCGACTTTAGCTATAGAAAATGGGTTTTAAGTTCGGCGAAGAAAAAATACTTAGATTATTTTGGTGTTATTCAACAAGATTATACGATAAAACTATTGCCCTCGGGGTTTTATCAATTTTTAGATAACCGCAATAGCCCGATAGCAGAAACCGAAGAAATCAACTACGAACAAATCAACCAAGCCTTTGAAATGGTAGAAAAATTTACTCATTGAATTGATTTAAGGTTTTAGCGCTAAAGCATCGCCTTTTAATAGATATAAAACGACAGATGCTTTGTTATTAAAACTTATAATCACTTGCTGAAACTAACTTTCTAACTGCCGCATGTATTTCTAAGGTTGCGGCTATGCAAAAAGCATTAAGCTAAGTTAGTTAAAACGCATAGCGCGTTACAAAACTACCGCCGAATTCTAGCAGAGACTGACCTAAACCTAAAGTTAAGTTAAGGTCTAAATCAAAACTTAGTTTTTTATTTAGCTCTAAATTAAGCAAGGCATCGATATTTAATTTATGAGCCCCAGGAGCACGAGGCATTATTTCAACAGTATGTCCGCTAGTAACTTCTACTTTAGTTTTGTTCTCAGCTGTTTTAGTAAATTTATAAACGCTAGCTAGATTATAAGAAAATTGATTTTTCTCACTTAAGGCAACTGTCTTGTTAATGGCGCAACCAATACCAGTGTTAAATAATTTATTGGTAGATTCTTGAGTATCTTTACCAGATTTATTTTTATGTTTGCCAACCATTATAATATTAGCACCTATATTAGCAATAATATCTATACTAGTATTTGCATGACTCAATAGCGAATAGATAGCAGCACTATTAAAGCCAACAATATTAGTGCCATAAGGATCTATTTTTTTATCTAAATCTTTACCAGAGCTACTGACATAAGAATAATTTACGCTTAAGCTAGTATCTATATCTTTAAAACCAGTGGAAGCGTATGCTGCTAGGGAATGATAATTAATTGTATGTTCTGCTTTATCTTTAGATGCCGAGCCACCTTTAACCTTAGCATTAGCTCTGCTATAACCGTAAGATAAGCCGATATTAATATCGTTTTCTAGCTTGCCATCTGCACCTAAATTAAACACCATAGCATTAGTATGGCTGTAGTCGTGTTTTTCAGCATTAGGATTTTCTAAACTTAAAATATAACTAAAGCCAGCCCAAACTGTAATCTCATCGGTTAAATCACCAGAACTAATACCTAGATTTTTAGCAGGGCGTGAAGATGAACCGACCTTACTAATCGCATGCGAGCTAATATTATCCGCTAGCTTATTAGCTATATTAGAACTAGCAGTTACCTGCGCATTAGAAGTGTCTGGTAGTATAGCATCGGCAAAGGCTTCAGGGTCAGAATATTTGCTTGCTGCTTGCTGATAATATTCTTCATGTTGAATTTCAGCTACTAACTCACCTAAATCTATATTAGCTACCTGCTTAGGCATACTAGCTACAGCTTGGTGTGCTACTTCGTGTTTGATTGTTTTTTCTAAATGTTTTGTTTTCGTTGTGGTTGTTCCAGGTGATGCGTTGCTTGATTGTGAAGTTGAGGAGGTATCAGCTACTACGTCTTTACTCAAAGTATCAGTAGCACCTGTAGTAGCCTTAACTACTTTTAAATCTACTGTTATACTGCCAGCATCAAATATAATTGAACTTGCTTTTATTATTTTATTTTTATCAAATACTCGAGAGTAGAGAATACCATCGAGTATAGTGCCTCCTGTTGTTAGCCAAGAAGCATTAGCATCGGTTCCAGTAGCTACTTTTATTGTTGCTGCTGTAATTAAAGTAACATTTACTTTTGCTTTTGCTTTTGCTGTACTAGCAGTGCTTGCATCACCACAAAGTACTATTTTAGAAGTGCTAGTAAATGTAGCTGCTTTAGTTATATTAATTATTGGGCCAGTAATCTTACTAAGCTGACTAAATAATATACATAACTCACTCTTATCTTCGCCTGTGTAGTTATCCACTTTCATTGCGGTTTGAGCCGCTGCTGTTATCTCGATAATGGCTTTGTTGATTATTGATGCTGTCTTGGTGGTGCCACTAGTAGGTATAGCAAACTTAGCTTTGATGGTGCCTTTGTTATTATTGATTGTTTTTACTTTTATTTCCTTGGAGGTAATGGTTCCACCGCTGTTGATTATACTCGTGTCGCCACCAGAATAAACAAACTTAGCTTTGATGGTTCCGCTATTATAAGTTTTTGATGCTGTAATTATTAAAGCATTAGAGCCATCAGATTTCCCAATTGTTCCGCTGTTTTCAATTTTATTTATTGTTATACTATCAGCTTCAATTTTTGCACCTGTCTGATTAATTATTTTTGATTTTGTATAATCAGTGGTGGTAATCTCTGTGGCTGTAATTGCACCGCTTGAAGTTGTATTAGTAATCTCGGTGGCGGTTATTGTTAAGCTACTACCGTTGTTTTTAATAGTTTCTTTATTATCAATATAAGTTACAGATATTTCATTAGAGCTGATCGTGCCTTGAGTGTTGGTTAGTTTGAATTTTAAAGAACTGTCATTAGAATCTAATGTAATATTACCAGTGATATTACCAGCTGTTGTGCCATTTCCATTAACTAATTCAAAAGTATCTACATTATTACCACTAGCACCCGTAGCTTCTTGCCCCTTAATATCAAACCCACCATTAACTGTACCTAAGTTAGTAAACTTAGCTGTTGTATTTGCATTTGTAGTAGTTCCAGGCCTTAAAGGAAATGCTGTCTTACTACTTTCACCAATAACAACCCCTTTTGTAATCGTACCATTATTTACAATATCAGCGTTTATTATTATATTGACGTCGTTTATAGTAAAGTCGTTAGTTATTGTTACATTGTCATCTATAACCAAACCATCAGTTAAATTTAATACTTTAGAAGAATCTTGTTGTTTAAATTTAAACTCAAAACTAGTAGCACCAGTTGTATTACTTTCAATTTCTAGTTTTTTTATATCAGATATTTTAGAGTAAATACCACCATTACTACCTGTGGGTATTGAATTCAAATCAAAATAACATTTATTACGCGATCCAGGTTTTAATGTTAAAACATTAGCAACATAAGAAGCATTAAGATTAGTTGTAGCTTTTGCATTTTTAGTTTGTCCAGCAAGTGCTTTTTGAGCAGCTATAAATGTTGTAACCAAAGTCTCGTCACCAACCGTACCAGTTTTAGTTTCTTCTGCCTTTAAAGTAGCTGATAGAATACTATTATTATATTTAATATTTTTTGCTATTATTGCATACTTTTTACTGTTATTAGAACCGCTAAACACCTTAGTATAAAGAATAGAATCGAGTATAGTATTATTTACAGTGCTATGACCATTTACAGTGAGTTGTTGATTAGTTGTATCTAATTTAATTAAATTAATAGCTGTGTTAGTAGCACTTGTTGCTTTGTTTGCTGCATCACTACAAAGAATAATTTTAGAAGTGCTTGCAAATGTAGCTTTTGTAGCTATATGAATTATTCCATCAGTTAAACCATTAAGACCACTGAGTGCTCCAGAAAAATTTATATGCAACTCGTCGTTACCGTCTTGACCTGTGTAATTATCTACATGCATCGCAGCAGTGCTGTTATCTGCTGTTATCTCAATAATAGCTTTTTTACCTGTTGCAGCACCGTTAGTTATAGTTGTATTGCTGTTAGTAAACTTAGCTTTGATGGTTCCGGCGTTGTTATTGATTGTCGTGGCTTCTATTTCATCAGCTACAATTTTACTAGCTGTTACCAGATTGTTTATTGCTAAACTAGTACCGGTAATTTTTTTAGCATAAATTTTATTGCTATTATCAATTTTTGTTGTTGCTGTTATGCTTGTTACTGGCGTACCAGCTGCTCCAATATCGCCGCTATTATCAATTGTATCTACAGTTATATCAGTTGATTCAATTTTGGCATTTTGGGCGTTGGTTAGTTTGGTGCTAGCATCAGTAAACTTAGCTTTGATGGTTCCGGCTTTGTTATTGATTGTCTTGGCTTCTATTTTTGCCACTGGAGTAGTCTTGCCAATCTCTCCGCTATTATCAATCTCATTTACGGTTATATCAGTTGATTCAATATTAGCACCGCTTGCATTTGTTAGTTTTGTGTTGCCTGATGCATTAGTAAACTTAGCTTTGATGGTTCCTTTTGTATTATTGATTATTTTTACTTTTATTTCAGCAGACTCAATAGTTCCACCACTATTGGTTATAGTCGTGCCGCCACTAGCATTAGCAAACTTAGCGTTGATGGTTCCATTTGCTGTATTATTAATTGTAGGGGCTGTTATTGTTTTATTGCCTCCTGTTAAATTAATAGCACCATCATTATCAATTTGATTTGCTTCTATAGTATCAGCAAAAATATTTAGGCTATTATCAATTTTTCCTGTTGCTGTTATAGTAGTAACAGCTTTTCCTGAGGTAACAGTGCCAATCTCACCAAGGTTGGTTATATCTTTTGCTGTTATTTCAGTAGCTATAATTTTACTAGCTGCAAGCTTATTATTTATTGTTAAATCGGTACCGTGAATCTTACCAGCATAAATTAGATGACTATTATCAATGCTTGTGTTTGCTGTTATAGTTTTAGTTTTAAAAGCTTTTCCTGAGGTAACAGTGCCAATCTCACCAAGGTTGGTTATATTTGCCGTTGTTATTGTTGTGGCATATATAATTCCAAGTGCTTTATTATTTATTGTTAAACCAGCACCAGTAATAGTGCCAGCATAAATTAGATGACTATTATCAATGCTTGTTGTTACACTAATCTCAGTAAGTGCTGCATTTAAAGCACCAATTGTTCCGCCTACGCTATTAGTAAGCTCAGTGGCAACTATTGTTAAGTTAGTGCCTCTTATTGCTCCAGAATTACTAACTTCCGTAACAACCATGCTAGAAGATACAATATTTGCCTTTGCAAAATTAGTTATTTTTGAGGTTTTATTGGTAGTGGCTGGTAAAGCAAAATCAGCAGTGATTGTACCATTCTTATTATTAATTGCAGTAGCTTTTATTGTACCAGCATAAATTAAATGACTATTATCAATGCTTGTTGTTACACTAATCTCAGTAAGTGCTACTCCTGAAGTGCCAATTGTTCCGCCTGCGGTATTAGTAAGTTCGGTGGCAACTATTGTTAATTTACCACCACCTTTAGTTATATTTTTACTGTTCTTAATATTAGTAGCTGTTATTGTTGATGCAGCACTAGAATCGCCGTTAATAGTTCCGCTATTGTCAATATTAGTTGCATCTATGGTTTTAGCTGTGATTGTGCTGTTATTACCCTTATTAATTATATTTGGTTTAGTAGTATTATCGCCAATAGTAGTAGCTGTAATTTGCCCACCACTAGTATTAGTAATCTCGGTGGCGGTTATTGTT